GGGTAGCGCCTTAGCTACGGAGGAGCCAGTCAGGTGGTTTTGGGCACCCTGTGCCGCAGACCCCCCCGGAAGCCATTTCTTTGGCAACTCCCACCCCTTTTTTCCAACAACAGCTCTCGGCCCCGTCTCTGGGACAAGACTCATCAGTTCTCCAACTCATTTTAGTCCCTCCCAGTCCACAGACAGTTGTGATGCCACAACACAACCACAACGCCCGATGCCCTCGCTCGTCCAGGTATTGTGAACTCAACAGTCGACTTGTTACTGCTCTCCGTGCCTCACAGAGCGTTACTCTTCCTTCCGCACGGCTGCTCACACAGACACCAAGAGAAGAGCCGGCCTTCGGCCAAGCGTTCGGGGAACCGTGCTGCTCTACAAGCCGGAACCTGCACACGCAGAAGCCACCGTAGGCTCTTTGCTCTCATCCGCTACCTAGGACGGTAACACCCCGTCTCCCCTGCCAGGAAAAGCACAGGCTCTTCCAGGCTCTATCACTGGATTTTACTCCCCCAGGAACAGCTCCTCCTTAGGCTGCCAGGTGCACACCCCCAGGGCAACACTTACTAGGAGGTTGATCAAGTTTTACTATGGATGCTTGTAGTGCATAAAGTGCTTGTAGTTCCTTCTCTGTGTCTGAGTCTAGGTACTTGAGTAAGATCGGCACTCTCTGTTTGATAACAGCAGTGTCCACACGGAAGCTGGAAGAGTCCGCTGAGGGGAAGAGAAGAAAACAGGGTCAGCTCTGGCACATGGCAGCGGATCTCTTAACGCCTTTATGTATGCGAATAGAAATCGCAGAAACAGGTTAGCATGGACAGAAAAAAGGAGGAGAAACAATGGGAAGCATTTCTATTCCATGGCTTCTTCTGGAAGTCTTGATCCTTCCAGTTCCCCATGTTCAACCAGCACCCTGGCCCTAACCAGCCTGCTGACATACGTGGGAGGATCGCAGCCTCACTTTGCAGCGCCAATCCTTGTGTTCCCACGGATAACCGGAGGTCCCAAGCGCGTGCAACGGCTAGGCCTAAAGGTTTTAGAAAGGTGCCTTTTTTTTTCCGTAAAAACAGTAAGGCAGAAATGGAACCATAAGCTGCACATGGCACAGAAACCAGAAATACATGCAAACACACGCTGGAGGTTCCTGAGTGCCATGGATACAGTCTCCAGCAGCTTTTAAGTGGATCATACAGATAAGTCAGTGGTGTTTTGAAGGCAGAAAAGCCCTCAATTGGAGGCAAGGTCAAAACCTAAACCCCAGCAAGACATTCCTGAAACACGTCACGGAACCCCCGAACGTGTCCCCCAATCGGTGTCGTTTCACCCTTAACACCAGGTGGCATCAGGAAGGTTCTGTTCCCAGCGCAGAAAGGGGCTGGCTGGCTGCCTTCCCCCTGGCAGGGAGCTGAAGTTCAGACCGTTCTCACTCCTGCAGCTCCGAGCAGGCCCGGGCGCTTTACAAGCGCAGTTGTTCGCCGTGCCAGATGCCAGCAGTTAAGTTAAAAGAAAACAAAGTGAACTGCCCAGATGTTTCCGGCTGCGGCGCTTTGTTCAAGCCCCCCCGAGGGCCTGAGGCTCCCATGTCTGACTTGGGAACGCACCCTTTCCTCCACTCCCAGCCGACGGCCGCATGTTCAAGTACTCCAGAAAGAACGGCTTTCCGTGAGCCTTGGACACAGAGCTAGGAGCAAGACAGGGATGGAGGCTGGCTGCTCTGCCAGCTCCCGCGTGGCAGTCGGCGACGGCAGAGCGCCCACGCACCCTCGCTGACGTGGGAGTGGGAATGCTCGTTACCTTAACAGCATCTAGCGCGTTTCCACCTTCACTAGGGGGGAAAAAAACCCAATCCGTGAACAATCTGGCGTTACTCAGTCGCCTGAAACATCTGTTCACAGCAGGTCGCGGGGACAGCCTCGGGAATGTCACAACCGGCAAAGCGCCGGGGCAGGGGAAGGGCCATCCTGCTCGAATTCGATAGGCAAAAAGCCTTAGTGCATGATAAAAACCAGCCTTGGGGAGGTAAAAGCGATCGAAACCCGAGGAGGAGAAAATGGCTCTTTACAGGTTGGTTTGGGTGGTGTTGGCACTGCGAGTTACTCACCTATAATAGCTGCTTTACAAACTGCTGTCATTAAAGCTCTAAGGAATGTAGGTGAACTCATCTGGCTCTCATCTAGGTTGGCCTGAAACCAAGAGTAAACGGAGCAGTTAGAAACACGCCGCCGCGAGAGCAGCCGCTTCCCAACGCCACCGGCTGGCAGCAGAGTCACGATCCCCGGCAGCGCTGCCGCAGAAACCGGTGCATCCCCTGCAAAAGTTCGCCCTTCCCCTTCCCTTCTCCGAGGCCGCTCAGGTGCGTCAGCTCCGGCGCAGCTCTCATGCCAGCAGCACCCCCTTCAGCCGCTCCCAGCCCGGAAACACACTGCCCCGGCAGCGCGTGGCTCTGTAACTCTTCCAAGAGTCTCAGGCTTTCCTGACAGACCTGAGAGCGCGCTCCCTGGGTGGAGACGTGTGCCGGTGTGGAAGCAGCTCAGGGAATGGCTACGCAGCTGCTCCAAGACTACAGAGAGCTTGTGGGTGTCCCCAGATTCCCAGTGCTGCTTTCACTCCCCTCTCGACTCGAGCAGAGAAACCACGTTTCCAGCAGATCGCCCCAGCAGAAACTCAGCTGAAGCTGACCGAGAGCCAGCTGTAAGCACGGACCTAACTGAATCAGGCTGAGGATCATTTCAGACTTAAAGATCCGGCTTAAAGGATGCAGCCAGAGAGGGCAAGAGATCAGTGGGCTGACAGGGCTTCTTTTTTCTTTGTTTTATAGTTATTGGTCCAATGCACAGGGAAATGCCCACGTGCCCGCAGGGACCGCCCAGGAGGCAGGGGGAATTTGGTAGGTCGTGTTGCAGGAAGCGAGGAGATGCTTTCATCCTGCATTTTGGGAGGAAAGCCTGCGTTCTAGAATGTATTAAGTAGCCAGAAGCACTGTTTTCAGAGTTAAAGCCTCGTGTTTTTAAAAGGCAGTTACACAGCTGGACGTTAACTCCCTTTCTCCTACAGCTTACTTTGAAATAACGGACTACATTTAAGATTTTAGTTCTTTGGAGGCGAAGGAACTCTGGGGATGAGCCTGCAGAGCCGCTCCTTGGATGAGAAAACACGTACGAAAGCAGTTACCGAAGAGTGCGCGGGGAGGGTGAAAAGAGTCTCTGTACCTCTACCCAGTCAAAGATCTGTTCGTCGTTCGCCTTGTCCTCAACAATGAGTTTCTCTAGCTGCTTGGTCAGCTCTTCCGCAGAGAGGTCTTTCTCGGAAAGTGCTTCTGAGGAACCGGAACAGTCAGACTCCATGAAGTCCAACTTCTGCAACATCGGAAGCGATGATGAGCATTAGTGAAGTACACTTCCCTACGCGGAGTTACGCGGCGCTGCGGCAGCAAGCCACGCTCCGTTCTGCCTTCAGGAGCAGACCTTCCACCTGCCAAGGTCTCACTACGATGACTTATACGCTGCCTGGTACAAAGCGTTGCACACACACGTGCGAACTGCATTATCCAGAGACAACCAGGCATCCCAGAGCAACCCCAGCCCCGCGCAGTCCGAGCGAGCACAAGGCAGAGTGAGTGTTGCTCAACGGGGAGCTGGAATGCAATGACCGGAGCCGGCCTTCGCTCAAAGGAAGAGCGCCTAACGCCCCGATTCACTGCAAGGTGTGACCGAGGATCTAACGGCCCCTCGCCAAGCCCCAGCCCTCAGTAATCCATCCCGTTTTCTGCCGCGCAGCCACTTCCCAAGTGCTAAACGAAGGCAGCGGATCAGCTGGAGCTCCAAAGGGAGAACTCCAGCTCGTCTTTAGGAGCACCACCAGCACGAGCTGCAAGGTGTCCTCCGTCAGGCCTGGCTCCCCCCCGGGACTGCTGCCTTTTGTGGCGGCCCTTCCGCAGATGGTTTGTCCTTGCCACGAAACATGAGCTCTCTCCCACTCTTCTTCCCATCTCTTCTTCTCTCTCCCCCAGGAGAATGGATCTCCTGCAGGAAGCCAGCTGTCACAGGGGACAACACTGTCCTCCCAGCGCTTTGGGAAGGAGGTGCTGAAGTAATCTGACCCTGACTTGGTGAGGGAGACACTTCGCCCCGCGTCCCACAGCGACTGCACGCAAGAGCGGGATGGGTGAACCAGCGGGCCGTGGGGCCAAACCGGTTAAGCAAAGGCTTGCTCTGAACTCACCTGCTCCATGAGAAAGGTAGGTACATCCTCCCCGTCGGGTAAGTAGTCCTTCCAACTGAGGCCAGACTCCCTCCATAAGGCTCCCACTTTCTTATGGCTCTGCAACACAAACCATCGGCTCGCTGTAAAGAGCTGCCAGACACGCAGGGGCGCTGGCACCAGCCGGGGCGGCGCAGCCACGTCGGGAGGAACAAAGACCCCTTCAGCCCCCAAGCAAGACGCCTCGCGAGGAGGTGAAAACGTCCGGCAGTCCCGTGCGAGAGAGAGCGCGTACGCCATCCTGCCAGAGGTACACACAGCTCGCCAGCGCTCAGACGCCACGGTGACGGGTGGCAAAGAAGGCGTAAGGTGAGGGGCGGGGTGTGCGACACCTTCAGCCAGAGGTTACCTCCGAGAAGTGACACGTCCTGACAGGGCGTGCTTCCCCACACCGTGACGGAGCTGGCAGTTAGATGCCCCAGACCCCCGACTCCGTCGTAACTTGCTCCGTGACTCACTCTCCCCCTGCCTTGTCACTAGGGCACCACCAAATGAGCTGCTTCTCAAACATCCTTATTTACACGCCTGTTTTCTGTGCAGAGATCAAGCCTCAAATTCCAGTACCTAACACCACGTTGGCTCTTCAGTTCCCAGAATTTACTGCAAACCTTGGGACAAGCACCCCTGCAGCCCGCACAGCAAAACCTTCTGCATCCCCGAACATCGCGCTGACCTTTCGGGATCCTGCCCAAGGTGGCACGCACACACCGTGCTGTCAGGAATACAAACGCTCATCACATCCAGCTCTCGTCACCCAAACGCTCTGCCCAAACTTTCACCGGTGCTGCGCAGCCCGAGGCAAGCACTGATAAAACCAGCCGGATGCTTCCACAGCGGGTCACAATTTCAGGTTTCCAGCGGAGCTCATTAAGAGCTGATTGTGCACAGATCCCACTGTGGTTCGCCGGAGTTAGGTGACTGGTGTTACACCGAAATGCCCCGGTCCCGGTACCGGCCCGGGCGAGATGGAACGGGAAAGCTGCGGCAGAAGCAGAAAGGTGCTGCTACCCCTGAGCGCAGCTGCTCTTCCCCCCAGAACAGATGAATAAACGGAACTCGACTCTCCAGCCAAGCGTAAGGCTGAAAGAGAGCTGCACCGTCAGACTGAACGCTCCTGCAACAACCAACCAGATCTGACCCCACGCTTCAAAAAAACCACGGCAAGCGAGGGATTTTACAGGGTTCCAAACAGACACTCTCCAGCTGGGTTAAAAAACAAAACAAAACAAAAAAAGACAAAATGGAGACCTGTTTGGACACACACTGCGAGGGGTGGAAGAGCTCTACGAGTCACAGGGTGGAAAGGTGCCCCTACCCCTGGCGACGGGGGAATCCTACGAGTCGGCAGGTTTAGTTTGGATAAGCCCCCACAAGTCCGAGAGGCCATCGGACGCTACTCCCAACCCTCAGAACCTCTCCGCTCTGCAAGAACAGCTCTCGCCAGACTGCCGGCACTTGGGCTGCTGCTCAGCCCCGAAACCCTCGGGAGCGTCCCTCCTGCCGCGTTTCAGCACTCTACCCCTGCAAGAAGCCAGGTGCAGAGGTACCTGCAAAAGGGAAGAGGGATGAGGAACAAAAAAGCGTTAACTCCACTTTTTGGAACCTCATGGTTTGGAACGGGATGGAGAGGCAGGTTTCCTAGGTGATCTGGACTGGCACATCCCTGGGTATCTCCCTGTGGGAAAGGTGTAGGCTTCCCGCGTAAACAGCTACGCGCGGCATCCAGCTCCTCTGCCACGGGCGCACCCGGACACTCACCATTTGTTTGCATAGAAGGTGCAAGATTTCAGCAAGCAAGACGCCGGCTCTTCCCACAGGAAGCAAAGGTTTGCTAAATTCTCTAGAATGAAAGAAAAAACAGGGATTTTTCCTTATAATTTTAACAGTCCGAAGACCGTTTCATCCTCGTGTTAACAGCGCTCCGAGCCTGGAATGCAGGGCTGGGGGCAGCAAACGAACTGAGGCAGGGAATCGCCTTGAACATCTGCCACGGAGAGAGGATGGGCTGTAGCCAGCGCTGCCGGCGATGCGGCGCACTTGCCACACCGTGGCGAACTGCCGAGACCTTCCTTTTGTGTAACACCAAACCCGCTCGTTTTTGGGGGCGGGCAGCAGGACCCTTTCCGGGGAAAAGGCTATTATTTTCTTAATAGGCTACTTGCAGGAAAAGGAAAACGATTCAACTGGCTTCCGGCCAGTCCCCAAACACATAAGGGGATGTGCCAAATGCAGAAACTCTGCTCCTGGGAGCAGCCTCCAGTCCTGCAGGCAAGGTTTTGTGCCCGTTTGGGGCAAGGCCCGGGGGGGGCTGTGACACTCGGAGACGTGAAGACTCCTGCGCCACACCCTGCTCTTCAAATCCAACTCTCCAAACCTCGGCGTGCTCCCGAATGACTCCGACCGTACCCACTGGGGTACTGCGTCATCTGCGCCCCCCAACAGCACTCCTCCACCGGCGGGAGCCACGCTCTGGAGCGCTACGGGCCGGGCGGCCAGGGCGAAGGGCAGCCTTACTGTATGAGTGCTCTCACAGAGATTCCTCCTTCTTTTAACACGGGGGTCACCAACTCAGCTAGGTACAACCAGATATGGGGTATATCGATGGCCATGTCGTCCGCCATCTCCAAGGTGTCTGCAAAACTTGACAAGAAGGAAAAATGGCAAGTGTTAAATACAATTTCATTTCAGACTTCTCCTGCAAAGCAATTCTGCACTTTAAAGAGCTGGGGCAGAGGGGAAAGGGGCAGAGGGGAAAGGGGGCAGAGGGGTTTCCAAAGGTAACAAACCCCCGCTATTGCCATCTTATGCCTTCAGGGCTTCAAAACTGCCAGGAGTGGATTTCCCCACGCAGTGATACACAGAGTATGTGGTAAAGGCATGGCCTGTTGTGACACCAGCAGATACATCCAGGAAAGCTTTACCATCATCCTGATATCCCAGTAACAAAGAGTTTGCTAACTAGTAAAACCTGTAAAAGGAAAAAGCATTTTTGTCTCTAAATCCAAAGCACGTAATCAACGGAGCCTTCTTAGTCGCAGCCAGGCATGTACAGCAGGAAGAGTAGCAACAACCCATGTCCCAACGCAATCAGCCAAGCGTCTGAGTGTGTAAAACAGCCCCAGAGAACAGCTCGAGGTGGCAGCGGGGGTCTCCAGCCAGAACAGAAAACGCAGCAGGACGACGTACAAAACCGCTCCCCAACTCGGGATGCCGTCTCCAGAATCGCCCACGGCTCTGCTTTCCCATGCACCCCGGTAGGTGCTTTCACCCCCCAGGCCTGGCACGAGACGATCGCTTTTCTGGCTCTCCTGCCAGTCTGCATCACGACTCGCTTCTCCCTGGAAACCTTGTGAACTCTGGAGTCCAGTTCAGCGACCACCGGCGCTGTTCTTCTCTTGTGCCTCAAAGCCAGAAACCATCTCCCCCGGTCTTCACGTCCTCCGCTACTAGTTAACCCCGGCTTGCGTGCTTCTGCCAGGAACCGGCTTCCCGTGGCGCGCCCCTCCGGTCGCGCGCCGTGGCCGGCACTCATCCCGTAACCCCTCATTACACTCGTCTCTCTCGCCTGTAGTGGCTTTCGGTGTCCTTCTCTTGTGCCCGCTGAACATCACTAGCCTTTTCATCATCTTCAGGAGTCGTTTCGTTGTGTTTATACTGCTTCCAGACCGCACGGCCCACCATTCCATCGAGATCCTACTTATCTGGCATCACAGCACTGCAGGAAGGGCTTTAATCACAGCCCTTCATGGAAATGTGTCACTTCAAACGCGTCACTCCGACCATCAGCGACTGCCTGGCCGCAGGCGAGCGCGCTCCCTGGGGATATAGGGGTCTTGCTGCTGTTTGAAGTCAGGCTGCCCAAACCTGCCCCGTGCCGCTGCGCTGCATCACGACGCAGCTCCCTGCCAGGCAGGGGTGCCGGGGGATCGCCCTTGGAGCCGTCAGCAGCACCACCACAAGACAAGATTCAAATAAAAGCAGCAAGACGGGGCTAACGACCCAGAAACTCAGCACCCAGGAGCATCGTCCATCTGCCCCTTCGCTGGCCGCTCCTCACGGTTATCCCTGATTCAGTTTCCCTGCTCCAGGCCCCAGCGAGGAGTGGTGCCGGGGACCACGCGGACCCTTTCACGATTGGACACCAGTTCACCTCCAGGCTGAGAACACAAAACCTGGAGGGCTGGAATGAGCCAAGCGCCGAAAGGCAGCTCGCCGGGGGAAGGTCTAACACGTCTGATACCACATCTGGTGCGCATTCTCCTCCTCGGCCCCCCCGGACACATCTGCAGCTCGAGGTTGAGCTGAACTGAGAAACGGCAGCGCCGGGGGAAGCCTCTTTTACCGGCGGGGGGGGGGGAGCGCGGCTGCGGCTCCGTGTAGGCACAGGACTTGAGGCGTTACCCTCGCATCAAGGTTTCCGAGTTCCTCCTCCTCTTCCAATCGCATCCGGTGCTTCGCCACGAGGCAGGCACTAACACAGGCGTCGCAGAGATCCAACCACACACACTTAAAGAGGCACCCACCTCGCTGCTTAGAAATAAATGTTTCTGTGAATACAGAAATATTTACACTCACTAAAGCATGAGAAATCCTTAAAAACATATTACAGTAATGACTTCTTAATACACCCGGGTGAAAACACTGCTTCAGGAAGGATGTGTGGAGAGGGCAGGACACCGAAGCAAGGTGGGAAATCCTTCCTCCCCAGGACAGCGCTCGTTTGCAACGACCGCTGAAGAAAGTGCCCGCGCCCACGCGCAGAATACGAACCCCTTGAAGAAATCCTGCTTGCTCAGCTTTCCCGACTGCACCAACTGGTGTAATAACTGGCCCATGTGATCCCTGGTGATCTGACTCCTCTCGAGCGTCGACTCCACTCCCACTCGCACGAAAACAGGCAGCAGGCTCTGGGCGCTCAGCTCCTCCACGCACTGCATTGCCTCCTGTTGGAACAACAGACAGGGTCACTCGCCTGGACCGAACGTCAGAACATGGGGCAGAGGAGTTATTTTCTCCTGTAAGACAGGTCAGGGTGCACAGCCTAGCACCTGGTACAGGGGGTGGAGATTTTTCTGATGGCAGATCCATCCTTCGGGGGGGTTTTTTGGAAAGGGACACTTAGCAAAGCCGCCAGGCCGAGGTGCTGAGCTAGGCTGTGCAACCTCGTCACCAGTCACCAACCGATAACAGCGACGAGAATTTATACCACGCGGGCAACAGGATCGGCCAGATGCACAGCCAGGCTCCAGCGTACGCTCAGGCTGCTCAGCGGAAGGACGGGGATTGTCTTCGGGATGCCAGCAAAACGCCGTATTTCATCCAACATCAAGCCAAGTCAAAAAGAGAACGCTGGGTTGGATTCTTTGCCGGTCTGCTCTGGCACAGAAATGTCTGTGCTACAAGCCCACGCCGCAGAAAGAACCGGAAAACAGCCGAGTAACGTTTCAGAGGAAAAATTCTCTTTATAAAGCATCTACTTTCTGGCACGTACGTTTTGTAACCTGAGCAAATGAACCAAGGCTTCCGAAAAGCCCTCAACATCACACTTCAGAGATCCCAGCTGCCACCACCAAAGATCTTCCACCGACCCGGGTTCAGCCCAACGGGCTTCCCAACTAAAGTCACTCCGCCTCGGTTACGCCTTCAGCTGGCAAGAACCGGCAGCCCCAGATGCCCCTCCGCAGCTCACAAGCCTGGCGGTCCCCCATCCCACGCCTGGGTCAGAGCTCCCGGGTCAGATGCGCCGACAGACCTCGGGGTCTCCGGGAGGGACGGGTGAACCTGGCCCTCAGCGTGTGAATTCAGGGTCAGGTTAAACGCCGAGGACGGGACTCGGGAGAAAGGGCTACTGCCCTGCTACACACCACAGTAACGCACGCGGCCTCACGGAAGGGGGTTTAAGCAGAGTCAGAAGCTGCGTCACACGCTGCATCGCACAAGAACTCACAACCACCAAGTGACTCCCTAACGCTAACGAGCTGCCTCCAACCGACAGAGGTTTTTAACCACCTTGTCTAATGCAACTCTACTCCATTTCCACCCAGCCACAAAAACACGTCGCTGCCTCCGCAAGCTCCGGACCCGCAGCAGCCCCTTCGCCCCAGACACCCCGGGTGAGTGTCGCCCGTGGCAAAACGCAAGGAGGACGCGGAGGCCCCTTCGTTAGGCAGCCCTGCCGAGACCCGCCGGGGCGGCACGCCGGGGGATGCTGCCAATCGAAGCGGACTGCTCCTTCCCTCCAAACCAGCCTTCAGGCACTTCTCCTGACAGCTACACGCGCACCCAACCAAACCGTCCCAAGAATGCTCCTCCTTCCCATTTTAACCGCGAGCAGCGGCTCTGCTCTTCGGGTGCCGACGCGGCAGCTCCCTAGTGCAGCCATTCCCACCTTGGCAGGGTTTGAAACTTGCTTCGGCAGAAGATCAAACCCATCGGGTTTGCAAGCCAGTGCAACGTGTCTTGCAAACTCCCCCGACAACCTGAAAACCCGTTTGCAGGGGAAACCAAATTTCAGCCTCCAAGGAGGAGCTGCTCAGTAATTTCCCATGTTTATTAAAAATACTCTGGAGTGGTTTGTTCAATATTTAGTGTTGCTTTATCTGCCTCCAGATCAGAACTGCACATGCTTCGATAACTGAATGGAAACCGCAGTTTATTTTCCCCCTAGCTTTTCTGCTTCCAAAACTGCTGTTATTATGGAGCTGCCCAGTGATTCCTGACAGATACACATCCATCTTGCTGCTGAAAACACACACGCCGGGCTGTTCTTGCCGTTACTAGCAGGGCAGAAAAGAAGCCTGGGAGACAACTGGCCTAAAAACGCTCAGCGAGCTGCTGCTGCCCGAACTGTGACAGGCCCCACCGTTTCGGGACCTCTGTGCGAGCCGGGTGCTTACAGAGACACTGTTCCTGGAGAGAAAACAGCAAAAGGGCTGAGGGGGTGAGCGAGGCTTTCATTTTTCTTACCTTAAAGTCATTAATATGCAAGAACTCATCAATGATAGATTTGCATTTCCTCTCTATTTCCTCTTCGGATAGCGAAGGCTTCTCTTGCGCTGGAGCTGGGGGAGCTTCTGGCTTGGCTGGAAGGGACGGAAAAAAGAAACCCATGTTTGGAAAAGGCGAATCAGCACCGTTTTCCGAGACAGCCTGGAAACCGAAGTCACGAGAGCAGGGCTGTTCCCTGCCCCGCCATCGGGCACAGCACCCAGAGCAAGCTCCGGAGCGCTTCCCCACACCTCGCTGCCCGAGAAGCCCTTGGAGGTCCCAAAGCTTCAACCACAGCAGCCGAGAGGTTTCCTCACCGCAGCAGTTCTCGATGTTTCCCAGGGAAGGGGCACACACGGTACCTATCACAAGGGTGCCATCCGCAGGGAACACTGCCCCGAGCGTCCTCGGTTTGTTCCCAAACGGATCAGCTCAAGCCGGCAGGGCAGGGAGGTGCCGCACTGGTAGAAGAAGGTGACACCCCGGCGGGTGCCAACGCAGGCTGCACCGAGACCCCCGCGGAACGAGGGCTGGCAACCAGCAGCGCTGGAAAGATGCCGTGCACGCTCCGTCCCAGACCCAAACCGCGCTGGCCTGGGGAAACGTTTGGAATGGGGAGGGTACAGTGCTGGCCCTGAAGTAGCATTTCTGCCAAACTGCCGTGGATTTGGGGGACTTTTAGCCCAGAAAGCAGCAATGACAGTACGTGAGCAGGTATGATGGCGCCTGGGAGAGGTGTTTGGCTGCTGTCCCCAGCCTTCCGACTGGAAGGAGGAGCTGGTGAGAGGAGGTGACGCCAGGGCCCCAGCTCACCAACCGCTGGGAGGTGGATCACAGCGTGGCGATGCCTCACTGCGGGCCAAATGCTCACAGCGCTGCACAGAAACCTGTCGCTCTTCCACGGAGAGATTTTCCCTCCCGCCTTTCCACGCGTTCAGCGAGATGCCCTGAGCACGGAAGAGGCGCTTACCAGATTCCTTGGCTTTGCTCCTCTCTGCCTCTGTGCTGTTTCTGTCCATCTCCATGCCGCCCGTCAGCTGCTTCACCGTCTCCAGCATCTCTCTCCGCTGCTCCTCCTGTGCCTGATTGTCGAGCAGCAGCTCCTTACTGCTGCTGCCCCGTAGGAAGGTGTTGGGACGGGAGAGGGAAGGCGGGAGAGGTTTGTCGTTCTTCTCCCTGCCCGTGCTCCCGCGACTGCGGAAGGAAACAACGCGTGCTGAAGGTTACACTGCAAGGAACCCCGGCTCACCACGCTGGCATGTTGGGAAAGACACACTAGTTGGAACTGGATGAGCTTTAAGGTCCCTTCCAACCCAAACCATTCCGTGATTCGATGATACGGGATCGTTTTACGGGAATTGCAGGAAACTACCACGACCCAAACCCAGCCGGGTTGCAGCTACACGGAACATAATCCAAATCAACTCAAGCCTCAGGTGCAGAAACACCAATATCCACGGAGTGGAGAGGCGGAGCCAGCGCTTCCTAGGGAACACAGGGAAAAGCCCTCACCATGCCCACTTCTATGTATTTTATGCCATAAAGGCGCTGTCTGGCTGTGAAACGGTACGAGCGGTGCAGTTCTTCACCCATTTATCGACAGCCGGGTTCTGCACAGCGAAGGTTACCAGCAACAGGCGACGCAGAGCTGTCCTGTCAATGACCGCGCTAACGAGGAAGACGGGCAAAATGACACTAAACGGAATAATCTCTGGGTAAGCCAGAGGTTTAGGTGAAATAGGAGGCAACACACAAGGGGCAAACCCAAGCAGAGGGCCTGGCAGCTGGCGTGCGCTGGAAGGGAGCGCAGTGTCGCTTTAAACGAGCTCTGCATTTAGAAACTGCGCCTGGGGTTTGTAAACCATTACGGGTTAATGCCCGTCTCCCACGGCAAGCCGGAGCGGGGAGAGCCCTGCGCAGCCTTACGCACGCGTCGCACGCTGTGGAAGCACGGGGGGGTTTGGTCACACCGCCTGGGAAGGGTCAGATCATAGAATCATAGAATCACAGAATGGTTTGGGTTGGAAGGGACCTTAAAGATCATCCAGTTCCAACCCCCCTGCCATGGGCAGGGACACCTTCCACTAGACCAGGTTGCTCCAAGCCTCATCCAGCCTGGCCTTGGACACTTCCAGGGATGGGGCATCCACAGCTTCTCTGGGCAACCTGTTCCAGTGCCTCCCCACCCTCTCTGGGAAGAATTTCTTCCTGATATCTAATCTAAACCTCCCTGATTTCAATTTGTACCCGTTACCCCTTGTCCTGTCACTGCAGACCCTTGTAAAAAGTCCTCTCCCAGCACCCTTGTAGCCCCTTCAGGCACTGGAAAGCTGCAATGAGGTCTCCTCGGAGCCTCCTCTTCTCCAGGCTGAACAAGCCCAATTCTTGCAGCCCTGCTCAATTCCTGACCCAGGCTTCAGGCACGTTTTTCTGGATAAATAAACCTACTGACCCGTCTGACTCCACGACGGCTGGATCCAACCTGTCTATCCCTTTAGTACATTTCACCTGAAGGTTTTCTAACCTGCTATATACTTCCAGCAGACGTATCCTTTAGGTGACAGGCGACTGCACACTGGACACAAAGACACCCTAATTAAAAACTAATTCCAGCCATCTCTCCTACGACATTCTAAAAGATGGAAGTGTTTCAAGTCAGCTCAGAGCACACGGCACAGCAGAAAGACCCAGCCACTCCTGGGCACTCAAGGCAACCTCTCCTTTCCACGTGCTGGTTGCAGAGCAGCCGGTGAAAGCGCAGGCATACGGAGAGGGGAAGGGGAAGCCACCGGCGGACCAACGCTTACCTCGTTAAGGCCCTGCGAGAATCTAGTTCTGAGGATGCGGATGAGGCAGATACAGGTGAGACTGGAAGCTGCAGTGCAGAAAATCTGTTCAAACTAGTGGCACTTGGTCGTAAGGAGTCTGGGAGACGGAAAAGACAACACAGGGAAGAGCAACAACAAGGTCAGTATCCGCTGACAGCTCGGTGTCGCACAATCACCAGGCGGTAGCTGGTTTGGAGGCGACGGGGAGAGGACCAAAGGGAAAGGGCTGGTGCTGCCCCGCTGCAGCCCCACTTGCCAGGCAGCACACATCAGAGCTGCTCGTGGCACGGAGGGCTGGCAGCAGAGGGTGAGGGCCCGCCCCGACTTACCCATCTCGCTGGCCTTGGCTCCCCCACTGCTGCCCTTTCCCCAGCTGCCCAACTGGGCTTTAGGCACAAGCTGAATCTTCTCATCTATTGTGGGCTGCAAAACACATCGAGACATACCGTCACAAGGGCAAACCACAGGTCGGAATTATAAACGGGGTGCTTTGGGCAACAACCCATCTTGTACTAAAACACATCTTTGAGAGACCGAGCCCTAGCCAAAGGCAGAGGATGCAAACCACGAAGGGCACGGCACGCGGCGTCAGGAAACGTGCGCTGTGACCAGGAGCTGCTTTTTACTGGGACTCTGAGGCCCAGAAAGGAGGAGGAAGCAGAGTATGTCAGCACTTGGTAGATGTTCGGTTTGTTTGTGATGGCACGCTAACAAACAGAACCCGGAGGGTGGAGAACGACAGCAGGCTGCAGAACTTGGAGGGAAAAAGTCTGACGAGAAGAGAAGACGGACTGTACAGTCAGCAGGTGAGTTACTGACAGGGAGGCTGTGACCCCGCGGCTCTCCGTGCTCCTCTCTCCTCTGAGGACGCAGCAGTCGCGGCGCTCGCTGTGTCTGTGTGTTTGTGTGAACCGCAGTAGAAGGGCTTTTCCCGGGCGGGCTGTAAGCCCAGACAAAAGCAGCTCCGTCCCTCCTGCTGATGAGGTTTTGGAGTCCGTTTTGTGACTTTCACAAGGCACAAACTGAGCTGGGTCTGCAGAAGGGCTACAGCCTGTCTGGGTTCTGCTTTACAGCCCGCTGAGGCACGGAGAGTGACACCCAGGGAGAGTGGCATTCACCCAGGAATCAGCCTGACTTACAGGACAGACAGTTCTCCTTGGGGAGAAATCCCAAAGCTGTTCCAAAGGTCATTAAAAATCTCTGGGTCTGCCTAACCTGCAGCTTGACGTGAATGCCCCCACCGCCCCACTTCCGGGGGACAGCACCAGGGAGGTGCTCGTCCGGAGGACGCGTGCCAAGGGATGCGGCTGCAGCCCGCAGACGCTGTGAAAGCAGACACAGTTACCCCGTACCACCCCAGCCTTGGGAGCCCCGGGTGCTGCCACCCGCGACACGCCAGGAACGCTCTGTCATCAAACTGAACGCGGCAGCGTCCTCGCTCTAAGAAGCAGCAGAGGATTTCTGTCAGGCGGGTGTTTGACATCCCTTCTGCAACGGCCACGGGATGGCTCACCACCAGGCCCAGCTCCGCGCTCACGTGCTCCTCTCATCGCCCAGGGCCAGGTTTTCCAACTAAGGGAACTTGTGGGTCACTCCAAGGACACTACGGACCTGAGGAAGGGGTGTGTGCATTCCTTTCCCTCAGAACAAACGGAACAGGACATCCAGAAGACATCCCAGTCTTCCTCTGCGCTTTACTTAGGCACAGCGTTAACTCGGGCGATTGAAAATGCCCCAATCCCCAAGTTTTGGCCCGAAACACCGCATCAGCTTTCCTAGACAGCTACGGTAAGGCACGACTGCGGCGTCTGCGAGTCCTGTGCTGGCACCTACCTTGGTGATTTTAAGGAACTTGGTGGGGTCCAGCACTCTGCTGTTCTTTGCCCCCTGCACAGTGTTCCAACCGCCTTCATCGACCCGCTGGACACCTGCCAGATGACAAACACAGCGCCCTGAGCTCAGCCCCTGCTCCAGCGGCACCCCGGGAGAAGGCGGGCGTCACCCCGAGTTCAGCGGGAGGAGGAGGAGAAGAGGGCACGTTTCTGCTACGCCTCTGCGCAATTCTGCGCACAGAGCACGTCTTTTGGGGTGTTTCTGCACACCCAGGCAAGGGAACCTGCCTGACGCTGTCCTTACAAAACAGCCTCGACACAGAACAGGTCTCTGCCGTTTTCAAGGGCTGGTTTGGGTAGAGATCCTCCCTGCTGAGACCCCTCAGTGCGTTCCCGTGACACGGACAGGGCTGCGCACGCCGTGCCTTCTAAGGCAACGCCAAGGCCCTTTCCGGCGCCGAGTTAACGCCTCGCAACTTCAGCAGTGAAAAACCACGTGGTCCCTCCTGAAATCAGACGCTGCTGTACGCCAGAAGGGACGGCGGGTCGGGCCCCCGTGCAGCAACGCGCTCTAACGGATCTCTGGCAGCCGGTCACCACGTCTGTGGTTTGCATGAACCTGAGCGCTACTGGCCTGCGGCTGCTTCATTCTACCCAAGGGATTTGCCCCTGAAAAATCCACACAGCCAGCCCATGGCAAGTCTGCTCCACCCCCCCAGCCATAACCGTTCCCTTTGCTCACAGCACTTGGGAACAAACCGACTTCTTTCTTTTCCGTGGGATTCTGGCTGTGGCCAGGGATGTGAAAAGAGTGAGAGGAGCAGCCAACTCGGCTTTTGCTTTACCTGGTCTCCTCTTGTCTTTGGTCATGAGTTGTTGGACCTTCCTCTGTTCTTCCTGTTCTTCAATCTTGGCTTCTTTATGAATCTGCTCGATGGTCTTCGGGCCCTGGTCTGCCCGCCGGGACACCCAGTTGCACTAGGAAAGACACACACACGCGCTCAGGGATGTTTCCAGGGGAGCAATTCTGAACGCGGCCAACGAGGCCTAATCCTCCCGCCCTTGTAGCGTGTCAGGGGGGTGCTCCCCAAAGGGCGGGGGCAGGTGCTGCGGTGCTGGGCCGCACGGCAGGCGCAGTTACCCCAGCAGCACAGATCCGCTACACAGACCGCGGAGCATGTTGTGGCGGAGAGGGGAGGCTGTGGTGAAGACCTGGCTGGGGAGAGGCACAACCGAACTGAGGGAAAGAATGAAACCCTGAAAATAAAGCAGCAAGAAGGGACTGCGTTTCATCTGGAATTGGTGCTTTGCCACTCCGGGGATCGTGATGGATGAGACAGGGATGCTGCAGAGAGAGGTGGAGTTGTCCCTCTGCAGAACACTTCCACCGCTCGACGTGGCTACTCAACCGTATGCTGCACACATCCATCCACCCCCAGAAACACCAGACTGTCTCTTCATCTCCCCACCACCCGTTTACAACTTTGGGGTAATCACCTTTGGGTACCCTGCAGTCAGAACGGCCACTTCAGCCTGCACACAACCCCAAACCAGCTTCAAAACAGCCATCTGAGGCCGGTATGAAACCCCCTCAGGACTCAGCCAAGTACCGTCGTGGCCGTGCCGCTCCCAGCGCTGGTGAGGGTGAAACTGCAGGTGCCGGGGCAGGCGCGTTCGAGCTGTAGAGACCCCGGCTCTAACGCTTGGGCTGTGCTCCCAACCATGCCAAGATGGGCAGGTCCTGCCCTGCACAGCCTGTGCTCTTGCCCACCCCCCTTCTTAGCCGTTGGAGCTTCGCGCGGCCGCCCCATCGCACATTCTGATGCAGCGCAGGCTCGGTTTGCCTTTGCCTGCCCCGTACAGCCCGTGAACAACCAGCAGGTGCCTGGCTGCGCTCGCAATCCAGGAAATTTCCTTCCGGGAAATCCCCAGCGCCGTGAAAAAGAGCCCTCGTGGTTCTTAGAGCTGCACTCACCAGCCCCTCGCTGGTGGGGTCATCGCAGCGCCCTACGCTCTTTACTCACGTGGGTGGGTACCTACCAGCCTTAGGTCTATGACATCCTGAAGCATGAACCGAATCCGGGAAGACGTTTTCCTCTCTTTCACAATCTTCTCCATCTGATTAAAATACTGGTCCATGCGAGGCTAGATGAGAGAAACATCGTCACCGATGGAAGGAAACGAACACGCTCCCTCGGGCGGGGAGGCAGCGGGTGGTGCGTTACAGCGTTTCTGAGCCAGGAACACCTCTGGGCACCCAGAGCTGCTCCGAAGAAGCGAGGGTTGGGGCTCGCACGCTCCCCCCCCAGGCTGGGTTTGAGCAGGCACGGCGCAGGGTGCGCAGGAAACGAGGTACGGGTCTGCGGGCACCTTCTTTGCTTGGCACATGCTTCCTCTGGTTTTAATCACTCAAATCATCGACACCCTCCGCGTGCACACGATAAACCTGACATCCTTTTCGAGAAATGAGAACCAGTGTGGCTTGCTTGGTGGCCCGCTGGCCAGCTGCCATCGACACGGGGAGCCCCACCCTGCCTCCGCGCTCCTCTGTCTCCTGTCAGCATGTGTGCTTGCCTCGGCCCGCGTCGGCACGCGCGCTCCCCTCGGCCCGTGCCAGCACGTGTGCTCCCCTCGGCCCGAGAAACAACTGCTCAGGACACTAAATGGGCATAAAACTAACCCTGCACACACCACCGGGATCCTTCACCCCCCCGAACCGTCTCAGCCGGGGGTCAGGCCAGAGAAGCACAGGAAAAAGCACTGCTGCTCTCAGCAGGCAGCTGCTTAACGGGCTCAGCTGGAGTATGAAAACCTACAAGCTCCTTCTCATCCAGAACGCCGTGATGTGATGGAATCCAAACCAGTTTGCACTCAGACATGAACTGGGACCGATAGCGAAGCCTCCATCAGGCCTAAAATGGAGCTTTGAGAGTCAGAAAAGCCCCTTTCCCCCTACATGGGGGTCTCTGGCTGTTTTAAACAAAATGTTTCAGGGCCCTTTTATAAGTGTTCCCCACTCCCTTCACTACAGCCTTTTCCTCATACTAAACAGACACGAAAAACCCGATTAAAAAGGGGCTCTGGCTTTGCCTTGGAAAGTTTCAGCTCGGAGAGCAAAGTTAGGAGTGATGGGGAAAATACTTAAAACGGACTTTGTCCAAGCAGCTTTAATTGTAACCATCACCGACACTTCAGCCTTAATAAAAACACTAATAAAACGCCTACCCCGTTGATAGGAGATGAGGATTCTCACCCAATCTTGACAGAAATAACAAATCCCAAAGATATCCGCGAGCGCTTCCCTGCTGCGTGCACGCTGTGTGCCACACGCTGCCGCAGCTTGAGCTTGTGGAACCGGCCGGTGCACCAGAACGTTGGCTTCTACAGCGTTTCCATGCTCACAAGGACCCAAAGAGCACCCAGGACTCATCCAGCGCGACCTCGGCTACTGCTCGGACGTCAGGCCCTGCCTTCTTCCCAGCGGGCACGGAGAAACCCGCCGCGGCGACGCGCAGGC